ATGAGGATAGGTTGGCACATGTCCTTATGAATGATGCGTTAATGTGACAAGAGCACAGTGGGTGAATTAGGTGTGATAGTAGTAGGTAGGATATCCATTCCCGAAGACATTGTTCTTACAACTGTAATAATTGTAGCAAATTCTTAATATAATTTCATGCGAATATATATAAATATAATAATAAAAACATTTAATTATTAAATAATTAATAATAACAAATAATATAATTAATTAATAACAAATCATCATTGAAAAAATATTTGCTTCGGTTATATTAATTTATGTTAGATCGTGATCCTGATAATGACTCTCAAGGAAAGTCAAAATATAGTATGTACTAAAAATTGTTAAACAAACGTTGAATTATTTAATAAAAAGCGACCTATAGCCGGATAAAAAAAAAATATATAAAAACCATTATATTTGCTTTCATTTTAAACAGCTGGTTTTGTTTGGAAATATATACAGCAGTACCAATATATCAGACAAGACCATGTAAACACTAAAATCAATTTTCTATCTAGGTCTAATTTTTATAAAGTTAAGGATGGTTTTCTGTTCTGATCTAATCATGTAGTGTACTTTGAGGTCAGCGTATTTTGTTACTAAAGTTATAATTCATACGCTTACTTAGTTCTAGCTAATACACTCAAAGTGATATATAAAAATTTTATTTATTATTAAAACAACAATAATTTATTATTTCAATGACCAAATATTTTTCAGAGTAATTTTGTTTTTTAATATTTTGAACTGACATACAACACTGTGCACGAGTGTATAAGAACATCTTCAACAAATCCGGAAAAGGATGAATATATTATTCCTCAATATATGTATTTTATATTTATTGTCAAAGTACATATTGAATAATAAATAGATCCTCGAAACTCATCAAAAAAAACCGTGTGCACACTGCAAGGTTTACTGCAGTTCTTTCTGGTCATTGATGTATAGGTACCCACGCAGAGAAACTGCGCATTCCCCATAATCCTCACTGCAGAAGTTTCCTCACTGGAAATCGGAAGGAAAAAGAAACCATAATACATTTTCTCTGTGAATGTTCGGCTTTGGCGTCCAGTAGATGTAAATTCTAAGGAAGATATTTCTTTGTCAGTTTGTCTGACTGTTTACCGGTAAAGACGAAAGACCTATTAAATTATCTAAATTCGACGGGATGGATTTAGTCTCTTAAAATATCTCTAAAAGTCTCTTTAGTCCGTTAAATAACAAAATTATTTTTAAAATTAAAATAAATAATAATAATTATTATTATAACTATAATAAATTATAGTAATTATAATAAATTATAATAACTATTTCTATAATTATAATTATATAATAATTATATATAATTATATTATTATAATAAATTATAATAATTATTACTATATTTATAATAAATTATAATAATTATTATTATATTTATAATAAATTATAATAATTATTAATATAATTATAATAATTATTATTACAATAATTATTGTGATTATAATTATTATTATAATTATAGTTCTAATTATAATGAACAATTATTAATACTATAATTATAATGAATTATAATAGTAATTCTTATAATTATTGTGATTTATAATAATTTATTATAATTATAATTGATTCTAATAATTATTATTATAATTATAATTAAATATTATAGTTACTTGGTTTGATCTAATACTGTTAAGACTTCAAATGTACGTAAGTTAGATATGTAATTTTTATTTATAAGTGTATATATTTATCCTAGGCTTATTGTTACAGATTTTCATACTATTTTTAGGTACATAATTGACTAATTTTTAGCTAGGAACTTTGCTAATGAAAACTTTGCATTTTTAAGGTAACCTATACTATAAATGCTAGTTTAATATATTTGCTAGTATCTTAATTAAACATAGTTTATTTATATTTATTATATTGTCAAATGTATAAGTGTACCTTTCTTTTTTTAATAGTTTATGTATGGAATAGTATTAAAGTAAATAAATCAGATCTAATATATCCACGCTAAACAAATTTGTTGCATTCACTCTATCAATTTCAGTATTTGACTGAGGTAATATACCCCCAATTGAAAATAATGTAAAACTATACAAAACGCATGAAATCAAGTGTTTCCCCAGGGTTGCATAAATTATAGCTTTGTGTCAAAATGGAAAATCTTTGCATACAAAGGAATCCCCCAACAAAAACTGAAGTAAAAACGAACCGAACACAGTGGAGAGACATCGAGTTACACGCGATAAGTCGAGAAAAACGAAAAATACTACTTGAGAAAAAATTGAACCAAACACGGAGAGTATAAAAAAAAGATACAAAATAAAAATAAGAATGAAATAAATAAAATAAAAAACAAAATATATATTTAAAGTAAAAACTTAAAAAAGAGAAAAAAATCTTGAACAAAAAATCGCTGTGGGAGAAGCACACAGGATATGCCAACGTGTAATGGCATATCCTTGAGAAAACATGAAATATCTTTACTATATTTTTCCCCAATGATATGACTTGTGGGGAATACATAATATTTTTGGCTTTCTTTAGGATTTTTATAAAAACGCCACTTTTCTTATAAATTAAATAAAAAACGAAGTGAAATTGTCAAAAGAATAAACGCATCGTTTTTCAATGGAGTGAAGCAAATGTACATTGACACGCGGCGTGGTACATTATTTAGAAATCATAAAAAATCGTCTGTGGAAAACAGATGAAAAAACTCATTGAATAGGAAAATTGTGATTGATCGCTAAGCAAGCGCATATTACACTGAGCACACAGCTTCCACCAGCGCGGCTACGTAAACAAACGGAAATACAATACCGCACAGAAAACGATATAATTGAAATACTTCCAGGACCCTCCATGAAAATATATGTGTACTTAAACAGTTGAACTGCGAACGACTGAACTGGGGAACGGCGTTAAAGAGGCATATTGATATGGTGCGGTTACTTCGGTTGTACTTGGATTGCAGCAACAAATACACAAATACATATGTTGGCGTTATCAGAAAAACTGGAACATTAATGGCAAGGATAACTAGGATATGTTTTCATTGACATAATGCTATTACTATGGGAGGTTGTTTTTTTTTAGCAAAATATTGCAGAATTTTTGAGCAGTCAATAAAATATTTTTGAAGTTTTGGTTTTGAAATTTAATATCCAAAGCAGAATGACATCCAGGGGAAGCGTAAATGACTGGCAAAAAGTGAGTTATTGAGGTTTTTTATGTGATTACTAGTTTGCATTAAATTTGATTGATTTTGATTGATAGTTAGCGTAGAAAGGGTTAAAAATGGTTAGACTTGGGTGTATAACTTTGTATATTAATTTTGTCAGTGTGTTTGCGATACAATACTGATACGTACACAACTCTAACACAACTTGTTATATTATATTATGTTTGTGGACAGAAGCTATCTGATATATTTTCCAACTACTTTCAAGTGGAGGAAATGAAAAGGTAGTTATAATAAGTTAACATCTTATATTAAGTTCAACAGTATTGCTGAGTAGATTAGAAATCCCTACCCAATTGACTCTGGCCGTTGTACCAGAGCGGCTACTCAAAAATACAACATAAAGTAGATATAACAAGACTTACACAAAACTGTTCTCAAAATTGCTGTGATTACGTATATATCAAAGAATCCTATACCATAGAGCAGCTTAATGTTATTTTTATTAAGTCCACTTTCTGTTGGTTGCCGGAACAGCCACACTATGTAGCTTAATTTTTATTTTTATTATTACATACTAGTCTATATAGATATCGCAGACATTTCGAAGTTTCTTTGATTTCTTCCTCAGGGCCGTGCATAATAACTACTCAACTGATGTGTACTCCGATTTGAGAAAGAAGTCAAACAAACTTCAAAATATCAGCGATATCTATATACACTATTATATAAAAATTAAAACAAAAATTAAAACTAATCAATAAGTATTTTATTTTTGAATCGCAACAGTCTTTTTATTCACTAATAAAAAAAATAGGTTTTTATTACCATATCACTTATTATGATACTGTTTGGAGTATTAATTGCAGTCTGTGAGTTTCACTTGCCGTACCCGACCGAAGGTGTAAATCTAGTACCACGAAGATCAGGTCCGAAAGTTAGACGTGTGAAAATGTTTGTAATCATTATTTTTATTCAGTGTGGAGTCACATTCTACAACTGACTGCTATGCCCCAAAGAACAGCAGTGCTGTTAACTGGACCTCGTTCCCTCTCCAGGAGAAAACTATATTGAAATGCGTTATGTGTCAATTGTTATTGGCGAAATTCTTTGAAATTTCAATGAAAGTGTTTATTATTGCATTATTATTGTGTTAAGAATATCGTGGTGTTGAGCCTTAATGGTAAGTAATAACATTAGAAAACGATGGACTCTGCACTATTTATTAGTTAAAAGAAAACACAGACCTAGATGTCACGCATAAATTTACATTATCTCATCTTTATAATTCATAGGCTAGTTATTTAGCTTGACCTTCCTTCGTTGTAATAACATGTCGTGTTGGTAGAAGTGTCCGATCTCTAACTAGCGCTTGAAACTTTACCTGATTGCCTGCGAGCATATTTGGATTGCTATCGTGCTATAGTGTTTCTTTTGACTTGCAACGAAATATTTTCATAATCGATTCTTCGAGTACACAAATCAGATACGAAGAAGTATCTTACTAAATCTTAGACAAAACAAACTCAAAAGCTTGACTCTGATGTAATCTGTCAGTTGTGCTCTTATACGATAGTAGGCTTGATATTATTTGGTTGAGATCAGGTTCAGAATTTGCTTAAGTTTATTGAATGTCACTTGCAAATGAACTCGATGTGTGTTTTATTGATCATATTATCGTTCACAAAGTCATATATAATATAGGATTAGATGCTAGATCTTTTTTTTCTGTTTTTGTGATTTGAAGACATACTTAGATCTGTTTTAGTTCAATTTTATTAACCTTACATTACATTTGTACAATAGAATCTTTACTTACATTGAGCACAAGTTATGAATTAATTCCATCAAATATCCTGAAAGGTTTCGTCAATTAACTGATTTATTTTATTTAATTTAAATTTTCTGAATGCAAAACTACACCGTCGATTGCGATGCCTGCGAATGCGCAATTAAAACTGAATTCGACTTTCAAGGCTTAGAGTCGCTTTACTTCAGACTGAAACTCATACTCTTCTTTGGTTGACAACTGTTTTTGCTCTAATTGTGGTGCTCACTGATTATTAAAGTTCCATAAATCGAAAATTTTTCAAATTTGTAAATATTTACACAAATGTATTTTTTTTTGATAAAGTATCTTTTACTTAGAATTTCCCCAATAATTAAGTCTATCGGGTTGCAGAATATCTTCAAGAAGCAGTAAATTTTTATTTGTGCTATACATAGATTCTTATCTGTCATTAAAACAAATTGCTCAGTCAACTGGCAAAAAACAAAATTTCAAGAAAAATTTTTGATGTCATTATAAGGCCATATTATTTTCAAATATTGTATCTTCAGCATAAGTTATTGTATCTAATCTATATAGCTACTTTTTACAAATGGTTTTTCAGACGTTCAAAATTCAACAATTTCTGTTTGGTTTATTGTGATTCATCATGAGAAATGCTCAATTCAAATGAATCAATGAAATGTTAGTACAAAAAAGTGGCTTCAATGAATTAGGTTTTAAGTTTTTCTTTATATATCTATGACAAAAAAATGAGAATAAAATTTTATGAACATTATTTGTAAGTATTTCGCACTTTAATTGCAATGAAACATGGTTTTTAGTTAAGTTTATACAGACATACTTTACCTATCTCCTGAACAAAGTGAACCCTGTGAACCTACCGTAAGGTTAAGAGATGATTTCTTGATATAAAATATGAAAGCTATCGTTGAAGAGAGCAGGAACCAATTTTAAATATACTAAAAGTGAAGAAAGGAAAAATAAATACATAGTGAAAAAACTATTTATACCTCAATAACAGTTCTTTAAAATCGAAGAGAGGAAGAGAGAGTGAGAGAGAGGGAGAAGAAAAAAGAAAAGAAACACTCTCTCGCAAAAATTATTTATAAAATGGCAAAAAATTGAATATAAAAGATTTACAATAACAGTTTTTTAAAATCTCACGTACGAAGAGAGAGAGAGTGAGAGAGAGAGAGAGAGAGAGAGAGAGAGAAGGAGAAGAAAAAAGAAAAGAAGAACTCTGTCGCAAATAGTATTTATAAAATGGCAAAAAAATTGAATATAAAAGATTTTCAACAATTTTGTAATATTTTCCCAAAACCGGGGCTTCAAAAAAAAAAAAGTTCAGAAAAGGAGAAAACTGATAATCTGTTAACTAAAGCCATATAAGGATATATTTGGCGAACTATCAACATCAATGCAGGTTTTATGAATTCTAGTTTATTAGTGAAAGATGTCAGTATTTTTGACGGTTATTAATGGTTATAATTTCTTATCGTTAATGCGATAAATTGATCTATTTATATAAAAATATTGTTCAGACTTTTTCACAGAGTCTTGGCTTCCATTTAATTTAAAATCTCTGACACTCTATATAATACCTTATATATGTATATGTATTTGAGTTTTTGAGCAAATAAAAATTATTGTTAAATTTAAGAAAAACATTAATTCCATTTTTTTTGGACCAACTTATTTAACAAAAGAAAACTTTTACTTTAAGAAGTCTTCAAGAAAAAATCTGGCGTTGTTTAATCGGATGAACGCTGAGACCAGTCATAACCACCGTTTGATTTGTGCGCAAGTTGTGTGAGGTAGTAAGCCATCTTCTTGAAACCAGAAGTGCTGCATATCGTTTTCACGAACAATCGGCATAAAATAAAGGGCATAAAAAATCGGCTATAATTATCCGATAACCTAGCTAATTAACATTTGTTGCTTTAGCACTGATGTCTTCAAAATAATATGTATTCCATGATTATATTAACCCAAATTTCGCACCATACTGTCACTTTTTGGCTCTAAAGAGGTATTTTTTCAAAGATGAGTAGATTTTCTATGACATATAACCGAAAATTGTTATGATTGTTTACTAAAAATCCTCATAGGCTTTAATGTATTATATTAGTCACAGCTTTGGTAATCAGACGCTATCTCTATTGAACATTAGAAGGTAGATATTTAAAGTGCTCTGGTATGAATCTCACTTTTTGTGTTAGTAGATTTGTTAATAAAAATAAATTATCACATGTGAAGCATAGAAAACTCGAAGACAGGTGATTATGTGCTTTAATGTAATTTGAAGATTGTGTCGTGTACTGCTTTTTACTGATTTAAAAATGAAGTAAATCAGTATATCACTATCGTGAATACTGTTCCCAAACAGAGATATGATGCAAAGTGCTTAAGTATATACTATATTAATCAAAATTCAAAAAAAAAAATTAATGGGCAAAAATTGATATATTAATCTAAATGAAATATTAATCTAATTACAAAAAAAAAAAAAAATATTAAAAAGTTGAGAAATTATATTTGTGAAAGAATCTTATAAAAACATTTTGTAGTAGAAATCAGCGCAACTGGTGAAGTGAAAAATGCTCAACCCGCGAATTCCGATAATGAATACAGTCTACGTTGACTGTATTGCATTGGTGGAATTGGCCAAACTGGCGCTGGTTTATGATGCAAACATGTTTTCCAGTTTACGAGATTTATACGTCAGTTGCCATATATTTATTAATTGCCAAAGCTCGTAAATAACTTTATGACGAATGTTATTGTTCTGCGATGTGGCCCTGCATATGCGACAACTTCAAGATATTTATGAGTTTATACAAGTGACTGCAAACACTAGTGCACCAAGCGCTACAACCAAAGACAAATAAAAATATTAAAAGTAATTTTGTAGTTCCACTATAAATCTACATGTGATTTACCACATATGAATTTACGATTATTGGCAAGAAATGAGAGAACGCATACACCACTCGGCAGTTCCGTCATCATTCTGGAAATTATTAAAATCATATTCAAGTCAAGTTTACATTTATACCAAGTTTATGTAATGCCTTTAGTCTGAAGTTATTTTGAAATGTCTGATAAGTTATTTATCTATTAATTCACAACAGACACTTTCGATTACACCAATTCACCCATTCACATATTCTTGATAACATATATATTTCATCAGTAAAAACTTTACACTTCTTCCATGAAAATTATTTACCTGGCAGGTTGATAACAGACACTAAGATAGTTTTAATTTTTCTAATTATTTTTTTTTCTTATAAACAATACTACTATTATGAAAGATTGTGTGTTATCTATTCAAAGTTGAATTGATACTACAGTGAAATCCAACATTTGATGTGCTTAATTCCATTATCTATATAATTACCATAGAATATTAGGATTGTAAAAGTGATTCACTGATGTAGTGTAAGCAAACACCGATTATCTTTACAATAATCCAAACATTTGATATATGGTCGGGTTAGTTAAGATTAGAATGGAAGCCAACTCCAATCTACAGTTATACTCGTATACCCTAGCCCACTTGAGTTTAAATAATGGTCCGTTTTGAAATCAAGAGTTATCGTTATTCATATCCAGATCAGAAGTTCTCTCAAAGGGACTTGCAGTATTTTGCACTATTTTTTGGAAACTTAATTCAAACTCTAGCTAATAAAGGTGTGATCCAAATCGTCAATTTTGTTTCATGATTATTCAATCACATGATTACTATTATTATTGTTAGGGGATGTGGCACTGCGACCGTCGGGTCTATTGTGCCCACCTGATTACTAATTTTCACTAAATTGAAAAAAGTAATTAATTAATTTAATACTTAATTAATTTAATATTAATTAATATAAATTAATATTAAGTTATTAATATTTTAAAATAATAGAAGAAATATGCGGACATATAACATACGAAATCATAAGATTTTTCAACACTGAATATTTTTTTGAAAAGTTACGTTATGGATCGTAAGATATAATAGCCAAACTATGAATGCAGTAATACGGAGAGTTAATATTCGTCCCCATTTATCTATAAAGATCGTATTTATGAGCATAATTCTCAACCTCTTGACGTCAGATGTAATAGTTTAATCATGAATACAGTAATACGGAGAGTTAATATTCGACCGCGTGTAGTTATATAGATCGTATTTGTGAGCATAACTCTCAAATTCTCAATGCTTCGATGCTAACGATCGTAAGATATAATAGCCCAACTATGATACAGTGACACGGAGAGTTAATATTCGTCCCCGTATAACAATAAAGATCGTATTTATGAGTATAATTTCCAAACTCTTGACGCTTTGATGCTAAAGATCGTAATATGCAATAGCCCAACTATGAATACAATGACAAGAAGAATTAATATTCATCCCCGTATAGGTCGTATAAACATAAAGATCGTATTTGTGAGCATAATTCTCAGACTCTCAACGCTTTGATGCTAAGGATCGTAAGATACAATAGCACAACTTTGCTAGAGCGACACGGAGAGTTGATATTCGTCCCCGTATAACTATTAAGATCGTATAATGAATATAATTCCCAAACTCTCAACGCTTTTATGCTAAGAATCGTAAGTTACAATAGTCTAACTATGAACGCAGTAACACAGAGAATTAATATTCGTCCCCATATAGGTATATAGATCGTTTTCATAAGTATATATATATTGTATTTTAAATACTTTGAAGTATTCCTTTTACAAGTATTCAATAAAATTTGGTGTCTCATGAAGGATATTTAAATTTTTGTGTTTCGCATCTTATGACAAAGGCTAGACAATATATTAAAATAATTATTTGATCGAAGTAACAATCAGAAGTGAGTTTTATTGACGTTTATTTTTCAAAGCACAAAACAGATTATCTTGTAAAATTATTAACTGTGATTGTCTTTGAGAAGTTTACGGGACTGAATATCTATTGCAATTTTGTGGTTATATCAAAATAGATATTTCTTCTCTTCTTCTTTGTTCCGTTAACTCCCAGTGGAGCACAGGGCCTTAATATTAACTTATGGAAATTGATTGAGTACAGGCCATAGCCGCTTAAAGGCAAAAATATGTTAAGTTATTTATATTTTATTAAATTATTATTGTAAATAATAAAAAATAATATTATTATAAATATATTATAACTATAAATTATTAAATGGAGTTATTTTAAACTTTAAATGACTACAGTAGTGCCTGGTA